TATATATATATATATATATACACATCTTGGCACAGTTTTCAAGTCAAATTACATATAAACATCATCTTTGTTTTAATGTAAATACACTATTCTCTTAGGACCATGGTTTATCATTTAAATAAGCTCCTCTTGATAGACCTCTGAGCTATGTCCATTTTTTCTTTATTACAAACAATACTGCAACATCTTTGAATATGTAAACTTGAACACTTGTACAAATACTTCTATACTGTTTTATTTTTATTTTTTTATTGTTTGAGAGAGAGAGGCAGACAGACAGAGACAGTACAAGTGGGGGAAGGGCAGAGAGAGAATCCCAAGCAGGCTCCGAATGGTCAGTGCAGAGCCTGAAGCGGGGCTCAAACTCATGAAACTGAAATCATGACCTGAGCCAAAACCAAGAGTCAGATGCTTCTCTGACTGAGCTACCCAGGCGTCCCTCTTCTATACTGGTTCTAAACTGAAGTGGGTATCCTCCCATATGGGCTTTGCAAACACATAATGGGAAACATTTTGGATTGTCGTAAGGAACAGGGGGGAAATGCAGCTCTTAGTGGGCAGGGGTCAGACCTGCTGAATAACCTATAATAGAATGGACAGTCCCACCCAACAAAGAATTGTCCTTCCCCCAATGCCAACAGTACCCCAGTGGGAACACTTGGGCTGAGGAAGAGTCTCCAGAGATCGAATTGCCATCTGAGGTATATTTTTTATTTTAAGGACTATTGTCAAGTGGCCCACAGGGGTTTATGTTTTACATAAATACTGTCCTTTATCAAGAGGGCACCCACAGTGAAGTCAGTTGAGTAGTCTCCCACCCGTCCCCCCTGCCCAATTCTGAAGCAAGTACTTACTGTGTGCAGAGGATGGCCCCAGGTACTGGGGATGAGTGATAAACGCCACAGTGCCCTGCCCTCATGAGGCTCACATCCTAAAGCCACGGACAGACAGACAAACCTCCCGTCTGTGCTTCCTTTATAAAGGCTTTACCATACTACATTTTGTGGTCAGGGACTGGCTGTCTGTGTCTGAGGCCTTTCAGTTCCTGGGCCCTCTCAGTGTCTTCCCAAAAGCCTCAACTGGGCTCCTGGGGTCAGCTGCCAGGTCTGCCCCCCAAGGAAGCCACCAGGATCCTCCTTCCCTGAGGCAGTCCCCTCTTGTGCGACACCCCCCCCCACCCCTCAATCCCATGCACTGGACAGAAATGACTGAGTCAGAGAGAGAGAATGCCTGACCCAGGCTGGGCCAAACAGATATTTGCCCCTTGCAATTGGGACAGAGAAGGTCAAGTCTGTCTTTGCACATGGCTCCATCTGTAATGAGGGGACACTGGGGCCATAGGGGTCTATCTTCCCACTGTCTAGAATGAGTCAGAGAAGAATAAAGGATAGGGAAAGAGAGACAGGGAGAGACAGTCCTGCTATCTCCTGGTTCCTAGACCTGTGCCCTGAGAGACCAGACATTACTTCTCTCCCTGGGTCCCCAGAAATACTCCTGGACTGTTATAATGGATACCCTTCCTCCCTTCAGCTGGCATGAGCTGGTTTCTGATTCACAAGCCCTGAGCCCTGCAGCCCCCGCTGGTTCCCGGATTCCCTCACGTGTGGTACAGGATTCCTCAGGGATCCGTGTTTCCTCAAGCCTCCGTGACCCACAGTGAACAGACAGGAGTGCCAGACTGCTCTCCTGCCCTCCCTGTGCTGCTCTCCACGGGGCTGGGTCTGAGTTTCAGAGGCTGGCTCGGTACGGGAAAAGCAGGGCAAGCCTCCGTCTGACCCCTCGGGGGCCCCCAACCTCAGAGGGGACCCACAGGGCTATTTCTGGAGCTGCCTGTCCCACAGAGACTTAAGCTAGAACTCTGGCCCCGATAGGAAAAAAAAAATCCAACTGTCCAAGAACTAGAATTATTAATTTTTTTTTAAGAGAGCATGAGCAGGGGAGGGGGGCAGAGGGAGAGAGAGAATCTTAAGCAGGCTCCATGTTCAGTACAGAGCCCGAGGTGGGGCTCAATCCCATGGCCCTGGGATCATGACATGAGCCAAAATCAAGAGTCAGATTGTTCAATAGCTATGAGCAAGAACCCTAGAATCATTAATTTTCTTTTTTTTTTTTTTTTTTTTTTTTTTTAATTTTTTTTTCAACGTTTATTTATTTATTTTTTGAGGGGATGAGAGAGAGAGGGAACCAGGAAACGAGCAGGGCGGGGGAGGGGGCAGAGAGGAGGCCTGGGGCCGACAGGCTCCAGGCTCTGAGCCATGTTGAGCAGCGGGCACCAGAACTCTCCCTGAGACCCATGGCGTGTGACCTAATAATGATACCGGACGCAGCAACCGACTTCTAAAATACACCGGCGCCCATTAATTTTCTAAAAACAGATTAATTTTAAAGTTACAGAAGAATGACTCCAATTCTAAATCCCAAAGTGGTAATTCGCATTTTGCTTATGGGTGCCTATTTTCCAGATAACTTCCAGTGAATAAATTAAATCCAGGATAACATTATTGCATTTAAAATTTGGAAACCTGACTGGCTCAACTGGAGAGCATGTGACTCTTGATCGCAGGTCTGTGAGTTTTTGAGGGGAAATTTTTTTGCGTTTATTCGTTTCTGAAAGACAGAGCCAGAGCAGGAGGGGCTGAGAGAGAGAGGGGAGACACAAGCGTCTGAAGCAGAAGCTTGAGCTCCAAATAGCACAGAGACTGATGTGGAAGCAGAACCCACAATTAGAAGATCCAGCCTCGGCGAAGTGGGACATTTATACCAGCTGAGCCATCCGAGCCTCTGGGTCATGAGGACTTTGAGCCCCACGGCAGGCATAGAGATTACTGCTTAACTAATGAAATTTTTTTTCCATCACCAGTTATTATACAAAAGCCCGATGATGTTCATCTTTCCCCTACCCCTTTAGACCAGTTTTGTCCTGGCATGAAGACAAATCCTGAACAAAGTAAGTACGCTTTTCCTCAATCCAGAAGGTTGCCCAAGCATGGTTTTTAAAAAAAATTTTATTAAGATTTTTATTTTAGGGAAGCCTGTTTTGCAGTGGTTAAGCGTCTGCTTCCAGCCAGGTCTGATCTTAGGTCCACTTGAGTTCGAGCCCAGCGTCGGACTCTGGAGCTGATGTCAGAACCTGGAGCCTGTTTCGATTCATGTCTCCCTCCCTCTCTCTCTCTGCCCCTCCCCTGTTCATGCTCTGTCTCTCTCTGTCCCAAAAATAAATAAACGTTGAAAAAAAAAAAAGATTTTTATTTTAATTCCAGTATAGTTAACATACAGTGTTATATTAAGGCAGTGGCTTTTTTTTACTACAACCAACATGAAGAACTACATTTTTCATCAGGTACCTGGACCCACATACACACACATCAGGGATGAAATGCAAATATTTACATGATTAGAGCCTGGACGACAACAACCAACTGGGTCACCACATCTACACATGTGAACATGTGTGAGCATAGGTACCAAAAAATAAGATCTTTACAATTTGCACTGGTCTCCAGGATGTCCTGGTCTATTCTCTTCTGTTGCAATTTTTTAAAAGTTGGTCAAGGTTTTCATGACCCAGCAGTGGGTCCGAAGCAGCTATTTGAAAAACACCTCTCTAGGGGCACCTGGGTGGCTCAGTCGGTTGAGCGTCCGACTTTAGCTCAGGTCATGATCTCACGGTTCGTGAGTTCGAGCCCCGCGTCAGGCTCTGTGCTGACGGCTCAGAGCCTGGAGCCTGTTTCGGATTCTGTGTCTCCCTCTCTCTCTGCCCCTCCCCCACTCATATTCTGTCTCTCTCTCTCTCAAAAATAAATAAACATTAAAAAAAATGTTTGTTTTTGTTTTTTTTTTTTAGAAAAACACCTCTAAAGTAATGAGACTTGTTTTAAGCCAACAAAAACCTCCCAGCCTTACAGGCGTATCTGCCAATCTCCAGGGCTCAGAGTGCTGCCCAGGGGAGGGAAACACAGAGACGACCCCAGTCAGTGACCCCACTTCCCCATCCCTTGCGGCAGGTGGGCCGGGGTGGAGTAGGCGGTCCACTCACCTTAAAGTGGAAGGAGCTTGCAGGGGACCCACTGGAGCCATACTGCTCGCTCTTCGTTAGGTTGCTGTAGTAGTTATTAACTTTGGAATTGACATTCTGGTGTGACCTAGGGTCATCAGTGATGGGGCAGATGAAGTAACTTTCCTCATCGTCGCTGTCTGCCTCGGAATCACCATCGTGACCAGCCCGGGGGGTCTGGCCGCCATCAACACCTTCCAGGCGAAAAATGAGGTCTTCGTCTGCCATCTTCCTGGGATGCCCGTGTTACCCAAGGGGTGGGCGGCACAGCCAGAGTTATAGTGTAAATGCAGCAGTGTGGGTCCTGCAAAGGGAAGCAAGACAATGGGTGCCAGGGTCCAGGGAGTCAGAACTCGCTGTGCACCTTACTGCGAATGCCCCCGGTGACAAAGAGCTGGCACCCTCGGAGTGAAAACTACAGCTATCTTTTGGGGAGGCACCTGGCAGGCGGCATCTAAGAACATTTTTAATGTACAAACCCGTCAACCCAGTAATTCCACTTCGAAGAACTCTGTGTTTGAAATAAGGCAGGGAAAATAAATGCTTCTTAAGCAACTAGAGCGATCGTTTTAGAACATAAAGTAGATTAAATCATTCCCCTGCTTAACACCCTCTGGGAGCTTCTCTCCCCATTATTAATAAAATGTAAATGACTGGGGCGCCTGGGTGGCTCAGTCAGCTAGCTGAACGTCTGACTACGGCTCAGGTCATGATCTCTTGGTTTGTGAGTTCGAGCACCGCATCGGGCTCTGTGCTGACAGCTCAGAGCCTGGAGCCTGCTTCAGATTCTGTGTCTCCCTCTCTCTCTGCCCCTCCCCTGCTCACGCTCTGTCTCTCCCTCTCAAAATAAATAAATAAATAAATAAATAAATAAATAAATAAATAAATAAGTAAGTAAATAAACAAATAAACATTTTTTAAAAATTGAAAAAAAACATAAACGGCTTTTAAGGCTACAAGGCCAGCCTTAGTCTGGCCCCTGCCCACTTATCCTCTGGCCTTGACAGCTCTCCAAGGCCCACTGGCTTGCTTTCTGTTTGGTGAACACGGGGAGCCCATTTCTACCCCAGGGCCTTTGTACTTGCTATTCCCTGTGCCTGGAACAATCTTCCCAACCTTCCAACAGTGGGTTCTTTCTCATCAGTTGGATCCTAGCTCAATAGTCGCCTCTCTAGAGAAATATTCTCCAGCCCCTCAATTCAAAGAACTCCTCTCATATACATATCCAGTTACTCCTTAGCACATCTGCTTTATTCTCATCACAGAGATATTCCCAAGCTGAAACCTCCTTTACTTTTTTACTGTCTGTATCCCCAGTGCCTCAAAGAGTACCTGGCAGAGAGTGGGCACTCAATACACGCCCCCAGAATGGTTGTGTGCCCTAAACAATGTTCTCTTTAGCATAATCAGTAACAGCAAAAAAATGGTAACAGCCCACAATGTCCACCAGTGGAAGCATGTCAAATTAATTAGAGTCTTCTATATACCATGAACTGCTGTGTGACTGTTAGAAGAAAGGGGAAACTCTAGATACATGCAGACATGCAAAAACAATTAAAAAAAAAAAAGTTCAGCAAGATTGTAGGATACAAAAATCAATAGTATTTCTACACATTAGGAATGAAAAATTCAAAAATGAAATTAAGAAAACAAGCTCACCTATTAAGAACTTCAAAAAGAACACTTGGGAATAAATTTAATAAAAGAAGTACATGACTCATACACTGAGAAACACAGCATGTTGAAAGAAATTAAAGACCTAATTCACTATCAAAATCCTAGTGGCTTCCTTGAACAAATTAACAAATGGGTCCTAAAGTTCATATGGAAATTCAAGGGTCCCAAAATAGCCAAAACAGTCTTGAGAAAAGAGGAACAAAGTTGAAGGAGTCACACTTCCTGAGTTCAAAACTTGCTACAGTAGCTGCGGTAATCAAGACAGTTGGTATTGGTGTAAGGATAGACACAGATCAATGGAATAGATTTGAGTCCGGAAATGAGCGCTCGCATTTAGAATCATTGATTTTGACAAGGGAGCCAAGACCATTCAATGCGGAAAGAATAATCTTTTCAACAAACGGCGCTGGGACAAGTGAATATACGTGGCAAAAGAATGAAACTGACCCCCTTCCTTACACCCATCATAGGAAATAACTAAAAATAGATCAAAGACTTAAATATAAAAGCTATGACATTACTTAACCCTTAGAAAACAATATGGGAGAAAATCTTGTGATGTGGGTTAGGCAAAGCCTTCTTAGATATGACACCAACAGCACGAGCAACAAAAGAACAGATAAATTAGGCACCATCAATACTAAACATTTGTGGGACGCCTGGGTGGCTCAGTCAGTTGAGTGTCCAACTCTTGATTTTGGCTCAGGTTATGATCTCACAGTTTGTGAGATCGAGCCACGTGTCGGGCTCTGCCCTGACAGTATGGATCCTGCTTGGGATTCTCTCTCCATCTCTCTCTGCTCTTCTCCCACATTCTCTTTCTCTCAAAATAAATATTATACAACTGAACAATAAAATAACAAATAACCCAAATAAAAAATGGGCAAAGGGCTTGAATTTTAACAGACATTACTCTAAACAAGATATACTCGTGACCAGTAAGCCCGTGAAAGATGCTCAACATCATTAGCCATTAGGGAAATGCAAGTCAAAGCCACCCACTAGGAGGGATCAATTTTTTAAAACCCAATAAATAACAAATGTTGGCAAGGGTACGGAGAAATTGAAACTCTCATACACTGTTGGTAGGAATGTAAAATGGTGCAACCACTTTGGAAAATAGTCTGACAGTTCCTCAAAAAGTTAACCACAGAATTACCATATGATCCAGCAATTCCACTCCTGGGTACACGTCCAAGGGAAATGAAAACATTCACATAAAAACTTGTACACATATGTTCATAGAAGTGTTATCTGTAATAGCCAAATGGGGAAACAAACCCAAATGCCCATCAGCTAATGAATGGATAAATAAAATGTGGCGTATCCATACAATGGAATGCTATAATAGTCACAAAAAGGAAGGACTGACACAGGGTGAACCTTAAAAGCATTATGCTAAGTGAGAGAATCTAACCACAAAAGACCATGTATTGAATGAATCCATTTACACGAAATACCCAGAGAAGGCAAATCTATACAGATGGAAAGTACATGAGTGATTGCCTATGGATGGGGGAGGGGAGAGTTGCGGGGGCGGGAAATGGGGAACAATTGCTAACGTGTTTCTCTGGAGTTGGTGAAAATGTTCTAAAACTGTGTCTTGATTGCATGACTGCCAATATATTAAAAACCGTTGAACTGTACTTTACATGGATAGATTATAAGGTTTGAGAATTATATTTTAATAAAGCTAAGGTTAAAAAAAAGTCAGAAAAAACTGTGACACTTATGTTTTTTAAGATTTTACTTTCAAGTAATCTTTACACCCAATGTGAGGTTCCAACTCACAATCCCTAGGTCAAGAGTCACACGCTCTACTGACTGAGCCAGCCAGGCACCCCACAAAACTGTCACATTTAAAAAGCAAGTTGAGGGGCGCCTGGGTGGTGCAGTTGGTTAAGCGTCCAACTTCAGCCAGGTCACGATCTCGCGGTCCGTGAGTTTGAGCCCCGCATCAGTTTCTGGCTGATGGCTCGGAGCTCTGGAGTCGCTTCCGATTCGTGTTTCCCTCTCTCTGCCCTCCCCGTCTGTTTGGTCTCTCTGCTCCAAAATGTGTGCAAAATAAAACGTTTGAAAAAAAAATTTTTTTTTAAAAATAAAAAGCAAGTTGAGGGGTGCCTGGTGGCCCAGTGTCGATGAGCTGCGTCGACTGCCTGTTGTTAACCAACTGCATGAGTTCCAGTGAGTCTCCCTCACACTGGCTCTGTGCTGACAGCCCAGAGCCTGGAGCCCAGCTCACATTCCCAGGTGTCTCCCTCTGCCCCTCCCTTCCCTCCCCTGCTCCACATGCTGTGGCTCCCCTCTGTCTCAAAAATAAATGGGAAACATTTAAAAAATTTTTTTTTTTTGGGGGCTTGGTAGGTCGGTGTTGTTTAATCGACTTCAACCAGGTCACCATCTCAAGCTGTCCTGATTGAGTCTGCCTCAGGCTCTGGGCTGTGGTCTTGAGCCTGTCTGGAGCCTCAGCCTTCCCATTCTGTGCCTCCCCTCTCTCTCTCTGCCCCTCCCCCCCTGCTCATGTTGCCTCTCTGTCCCAAAAAATAATAAACGCGAAAAAAATTTTTTTTTTTAAATAAAAAGCAAGTTGAAGAACATCAGGTCTATTATGGTGAAAAGAAAAAGGACATTTGTAGATGGGTTGAGACTTCCCTCAAGGACCCCTAGGAGCTCTACCAACACAGGGATGGCAGTGATAATGGAAGCTGTAAGGTGGGGGTGGTGGGAACTTTTTGAAGGAACTTGTGCCAGGTGCCTGGTGTCTCTGTCACGAAGTGGTTGACTTTGGTGGGACTCAGGAACATGATCCCAGGGTTGTGGGATTGAGCCCTACAATGGGCTCTACACTGAGTGTGGAGCCTGCTTGGTTGGGATTCTCCCTCAACCAACCTCTCTCTCTCTCTCTCTCTCTCCCCACCCCTCCCCCACTTATGCACACACACAAACGCTCTCAAAAAAAAAAAAAGAACTTTGTACACTTCTACACTGTGTTAACTTTTCACAAGCTGAGTTGCTTTCAATATAAAATAATAAATAAACGAAAACACTTTAAAAATTTTTTTAGATCAAGGTAATACTTTTTTAGATCAATCTAATGGCTCCTTCCATCTGCAGGCAGCCTCCTAGATCTGAGGCTCTGGCACTTTCTTAACAGCTATCATAGCAGGGAATATATTTCTATCCTAACTTGGTACACACAAAATGCAAATTAAAATGTGAGGAAACTGTACTTAGCTTCACTTTGTACAACGTGCTCTGCTATTTTCTACTCCACTCATTTTTGTTTTGCTTTACTTCCTTCTCATTCTTTTCCCTTAAGGCACCACCCACAGGCATTTCTTGAAAATCGGCCGCCCCAGGTGTCTACTGCAGAGTTGTTTCTTACCCTGTGGGCAGGACACAGTCACGGTCAAGAGCCAATGCCTGAACCACCTGACCCTGTTGGTTACCAAAACCTGCCCTGGGCCCTGGGCCCACTCCTCCCCCTCTCAGCCGCTCCCAGCCCCAGCGCCTGCTCTGCCCCCGTCAGCCCTTGGCCAGAACCTCTGCTG